TTTCCTTTGCAATTTTCCTCATTTTAAGATCCAAACTTTGTTTTCTACCATACCCCATAATCAATACACAAGAAATTTGGGGGGGCCTACAACATCAAAATATAACATGACTCCTATAAATTTTCATTGTCTCCAAAGCTACTAATACTCCATGCCAAGCCATTGGCATGTTCTTCTCGGTTTACTGCAATGGTTACTGATTTCCATCTTTCCACTCTTCAACTACTCTTTATCTATCTCAATGCAGCAATTACCCTTCTAAGAATCTAAGTTGGATAATATGACTATCCTCAAAACTCTGCTTTATTCACTGGTGTATCGCCAGCCCCAGAACTGTAATTGGCACATAGAAAATTCTTCATAAATATTAGATGAATGAATGCATACTGTATTAAAGAATGAACTTATTGAGAGTAATTTTTTTTTAAATATTTCTTAATACTTGGTGGACTCTTCCAAGTAATTCAGTCCCAAGATTCCTGTTCTGTAAATTGTGTCAGAAAACTATGGATGAAATTTGTGTGGGTGCCTACCAAAATTTATTGGATCTTCTTAGGCATACTTGAAATTTACTATCAGACCAATTTATTCTCAGAACCATGTTACTTTCAAAATAAGCTCCTTTCCTAAACATATTTGGATTTTTCTGCGATATTTCTGTCTGGAATATTAGAGAATGGCTCTTTTGAAAACACTGCCTTCAGAAAACTCATAAAAGTATAACAGAATTGGCAATATTCTATGTAGATGTATAGAAAATGAGATATAGTGTTAAGACTGTAATAATATCAGATGTGAATATTTCACAATTACAAATGCAAAGTTAACAAAGCAGCTACCCAATCCTTCTTTTCCTTTAAAAAACATAACCACCCTGATTTCATCCTACCTACAGCATCCATAAAGCAGAAAAACAGAAAGAAACCAGAAGTTTTTTTGTAATCTTGATATATGTGCATGTTTGTGATTCTAGAACCTAATTAATCTACTTCCAATTTGACAAAATAATACAGAACAGCTTCATATGGATTTTAATGTATAAAAACTACTGGTTAGATAAGAGAGTACTACAATGTAATTCCATATTTTATTTGACCGTCACATAATTGCATGGATCACCTTTGGAAATCAGGAAGCATCTGCTGTCTCTTAGTTGGCATATTATTTTATTTATTATTGAGTAAATAATTTTATTCAATTGCAAGCCTCAGTTATTCATCACTAATATTAAGGGGTTGGGCTAATAATCTTTATCTCTGGCTCTTGAGTCCTTAATGTATGATATATACCATTTCATAAAAAAATGAGTCACTCCCTATTGAACAAGAATTTACTGGCTATCTATTGTGAATGTAACAATTTATAATATGCTGGGAGGTATTTTTTAAAGTCCTGGCTTTCTGGAGCATATAGTCTAATTAGGATTATAAACTCACATAATAGTACATTTGAACTGCAGACAGAAATGACTCTCCAGGTAGCTGGTACAACAAAAGTTGCTATGGGAAATTTAAGGAAGGTAGAATTGGAATAGAGTAGAGATTAAAAGCACCTTAGAGTAAGAACATGATTTAATAACCTGCATTTGGCATCAAGCATGGCATACTACAAATAAGTATAAAAACAGAACCTAGCTAGAGTGAAAAGGGAAATCATATTGTTGTAGTTAAAAAATTGGAAGACAGATTGTGAATCTGTCACTTAACAGTGACCTGAGTGGGCCTGTAGGTGTAGCTCAGTGGTGGAGCACCTGCCTAAAATGAATGCCTGAGGTCCTAGGTTTGATCCACAGCACTGGGGGAAAAAATAGTAATGTGACTGAAGGCAAGTTATCTAACCTACTTATACCTCAAATTTCTTTATACGTAAAATGAAGATAGTAGAATCCCCCCATCATTGAGTGCCTATAAAGAGTTATCGAAAACGAGATAACTCAATAAATGTTAGTTATTGTTATGGGAGGAAAGCCTGGATAAGGAGAAACAGATCAACAGAAGAAAAATTCTGGCAGAAGGTATAACATCTACAAGGGCAAAGAAGAAGGTGAGCAGATGTCTTTGGAAATTACAAATAGCTTGTTTTGTTAGAAGGATAAGTGGAGGGCTGTGGTAATAGTAAAAGACTGATTTCAATGACAAATTTAAATTACACATTGAAAGTGTCTTGGAGCTATCAAAAGTAAATAGCACACTGTTAAAATGAAAACTCAATTTTAAGATCACTCTAGAAACAATGAAAGGCTGAACTGGACATGAAACTACTAGGGCCACAGACTCACTTGGATGGCTCCTATAGTAATCCAAGGAAAAACCTAAAGTCATCAGCAAAAAGATGCTATAAAAGGGGATGGACAAGAAACCACCTAAGAAGTACCACCCTTTTCTCTGTGGTTGTTTAGTTTCTCTGGGGAAGAATTCTCTATAGTCTTCTGCAGAAGAAAGTAGGTTGGGAAAGGGTCTTTTTTTTTTTTTTTTATGCTTTTAATTTCACATCTTTCTTATCCTCCAGCCTCTCAATTTGTAGTCGACACATATTTTCCTTTGCCCATCTCCTGCCCATTCCTTCTACCTCACAGTCTCCCATTAATTCCTTCAGATAAAAATTCTCCATGCTTCTACTTATAGGAGACAATATTGGCTATAAAACATCATATCTGTGTGGCCAAATGGAGTAAAGCAAGGGTCCTGGAGATTTGACCCTTCTGTTGTGTATAATTTTCAACTGATCATTAATAGGCTTGTCCCTGACTATACTCTGCTATAGCCTTCTCAAAATGTGGTCTACCTATGAATACTGTCCCATCAGCTATTTGTTACTTATTTAAGCTTTAAATCATGAATAAGGTAACAAATATTTTGCCAAATGACCCTGTGCTAGTGAAACCTATCACTTTCATGCCTCACCACAAACAGGGCTTTTAGAGTCTTTTGTGGCCAAATACATATGAGATTGACAAAAATACCCAAAATTATGAAGAAAACTGTTTATATGAACAAGAAAAAAAAAATAAATTAAAAACAGCAAAAAAAAAAAAACAAATTTTGGTGCTAACAAAAAACATATATATATATATATATCTCCATACATGTTCTCAGAAAATGTGATATTTTATCTGTGAACTAAAACTACAATATTTTAAAAACAGAATACAAGTGAAAGAAGTCTTGGAAATTAAAATATTTTTAAAGTATATATTATAAATTCAAAAGAAGGAAGATAATGTTAAAAGTTCAAATCGGACAATTCAAAAAGGAAGACAGGCAATAGTTTCTAAACCAGAGGGAAAAAAAGAAAATTAAGCATCAATTAAGTGGTTCAAAATCGAACTAAAATAAGATTAGATTTCCCAAAAGCAAAAATGAAGGCTTAAGGGCTGAGGATATAGCTCAGTTGGTAGAGTGCCTGCCTTGTATACACAAGTCCCTGGGTTCAGTCCCCAGCATCACAGATAAATAATAAATACTTTCTAAAAAATGAACAGAGCATTGTCTTCCAACATCTGGAACAAATTACTTTTAACCTAAAATTGTAGATATATTCAAACTATCAATGAAATATGAGGGCAGATTTAGGGCATTTTAGATAGTAAAGACTCAGAAAATTTACCATTAATATCCCACTTCTAGGAGGCATATGCATGTTTTAGGAAATGCTGAGTAGACAAGAAAATAAATGAGGAAACAAGAGACACAAAACCCAAGGGTGATCATGGGATAACAGCTGTACAGCAGGTCAGAGAGCCCAGTAAAGACTGACACCGAAGGATAACTGCAGAATAGACCTCAAGTAAAAACCAGGACATTATCTGTTTAAGGGTACAAAAACCCTTCAAAATTATTGATAAAAACACAGTATACTTGAAAGAATTTGGAAAATTTTTAAGACAGGTTGACAAAGTTTTATGTTAAAAATGAGGCAAATATTAATTTCAGGAAAAAGAAAATTACATAAAGGAAAATGTAATCATGATACATGCTTTGCTCTATAGTATACATTATTTTTATAGTCAAAAATTTAACAGCAAATGCATTTACTCAATATTAAGATGCAACTATATAACAGGAGAAGGTAAGATAGTGTGTTAAAGAACTAAGTCATATAACATTATCAAGAAGATAATAATATCTAAAACAAAATCAAATAATAGTCAATAGGCATATTATTTAAATAAATTGAGATAAATAACAGAAACAATCACAAAGTAATTGTCTCTGTAGAGGAAAGTTAAGTTCAGACAGGAATTATTGCTTTCACCATAAAGCATTTAGAACTTACTATTTAATTTTTGTTAAATGTATACATGTTACTTTAATAAATTTTATACATCAAAGCTAATAAGATCATCTTAGTCTGATTTACTTCTAGACAATATATTTTGAAAGTTCAAGTGACATCACAAGAAATGTGAGTTTTGTTTACCAAATGATGCAAAAGCTAAGAATGGGTTTTAAATACTTTACCAGATTATCAAATTCTACAATAGACATTTATGCATTGAAACTCTTTAATAGTAGCATGTCTTTACTCCCTTCAACTTCCTCTTAATATTGCCATGTTCACAAAGAACATGCTATAATTTCATCAAACAAGAAGTGCCATTTAATAATTCTAAGTCTGGAGGCAACAGGCTGAACAGAATTCATTAACTCTCTCAGTTACTGTCTTTGCCAGTCAGATTTTTCATTTCTTGGATGCCCTACTTCATTATTTTAATGATCCTTGTCTCTCAGTTTACCAGATATTACTCTTGATGTAAAACCAAAATTAGCCAGTCTACAAATAGGTAACAATCCCACTGCTTCCCAGTAAGGACAAATGTTCCCCAAGATAAATCTTGCAATTTATGTTATCAGAGTGATTAATAAACACAAACATAATAATTTAACAATAGACATTTTATGAAATCTAGGTACTGAGAAGTTAAAATCTGAACTCACTAACTAAACATTAGAAACCACATGGGGCAATTTATTTTAGCAAGACACTTACTCATAGCAAAGTTAAGTTTGTTCATTTTTATTAACACAGAGCATAGTAACAGAATGTTATCTTTAAACATAATCAAGGTTACAAATAAACTGTAACTATCCAATAAACAATATTCACTTGACTCTTCTCCTGGATGAATAATTCTCTGATTTCCTATTAGGTAGTATATAGGTTTTTTTTTCCAGTTTTTTCTTAAACTGCCTTATGATTTCAATTTGCTTTTTCTTACTGAATAATTTCTCCAATTGGGAAACTTTTCATGTCAAAATGCTTCCTGCAAATTAATACATTTTCCCAAGACTTCTATTTAACCTAGTTACCTTAACCTAGTTACCTGAAATTTGAGAACATCAACGTTTCCAAAATATAAATATAAAAGCCTATAAGAAAGAAATGTTTTCCCTCCCCCTCATGCTTTGCAGATGCCATGTGAATGTTTCATATTCTTCATATTTAGTAACAGGAATCCTTAGAGCTCAAAGGGCAAGAGACAGTAAGAACTTAAGATCACCAATGCACTTGTCAGATGAATAAAACTCCAATTGTATTTTAAGATTCCATCTTCTCCACAGTTATGAAAGTGTTGGAAGGGTTCTTCAACTTTTCTTTAGCAGCCACTTTGGTCCCCCAGTCAGAACAAAAGACACAGGATAGTAGTCTTCCTTAAACAGCACAGACTTAATCTAAAAAGACTGAACAAACCTCCCTCCACCCATGATGTAGCCCAGAAAATTAACTGCCACGTGCAACAGAGACAATTTTCAGAATAAAGAACATTCTGACAACATAAAGAGTATTTTTAAATAAAGAATACCCTATGCACTAAGAAATTTTAGGATAACCATACATCAAATAACTCATGCAAGTAATATTTTTATAATTTAAAAAAGTCACTATGAATTACAAGTTCTTTTAACTGAATTTCACGTTATACAAAAACTTAAAGAAGTGTGGCACATTTCTTCTGTTAATCATCACATTATTTGTTTTCTTTAAAAAAGCATATAAATCAAAATTGATACATTACTCAGACCTTTTGATTTAAATATAACTGAAGGAAATCATGGCAAACTCTGAATAAACAGGCATTTTCTACATAAACATGAGTTATTCTAGTAAAATTAAAAAAGCAATTTAAATGCAATTAATTCATCTCTGATTAATACATAGTTTTTCATGCATGTGGAAAAATAAGTTTACATTCACTTCAAGAATAAATTCCATACCAAACAAATTACAGCATTTATTCAGTGAGGAATATTAAAATAATTCCAGTTAGTAGAAAATAAAATAACTTCAATCATATATTATAATTTGCCATGTACACGCTCCAAAATCCCTAGAATTTAAGTAGGAATCTTTTAAAAGTAATGTATTAGGAAAACCAACCAATTGGTATCTTAACTAAAGAGAATGTGTACACACATTCACGTTTGACCTATATGCAAAACTGAATGAAATACAGAGGAAATTAGGTTTAAAAATTTTCTGTAGTATTAGTACTCAAGTCAAAACACTTACCTGCCAAATCAGAACAATGTGAGGTATTTTCAATGCTGAAGTAATTTTCCAAATGTTTACTATCACAAGAATGAAAACACTCTCCTTTGAACATTTTCATCTGATTTACAATTAAGGCAGAAGATGATCATCTGCCAAGCAGTTTTTTGATTTCACCCATATTCTTTCTTCTCATTCAAGGGAAATGATCTCATGTTTAAACATTTCAAGTGAGTTGGGGTTCCTGACTGCAACATTTTAACTAAATGAAAAGAGGAATTTTAAATTCTCCTATCCAGGAGCTACCTGACCTCTTTAGAACTGAACATCAATTTCTATGCCAGGCAAGGTAATAAGCATGTCCTCTGAAATGAAAGCTAAGCTTAACAAAGAACTGTAATAGATTAAACTGAATACATGAACCACCTCAACAAAGATGGTACTTTAAGCCTTTACACACAACACATGAAAATGATGAAGTGTTTTATTTAGATTTTTTCTTCATCTTTCTGTAACTCTGAATCTTGAAAAGTTAGCAAGTCATTACACTCATACATCTTGTAATTCCTTTCTTCACACCATAGGTACACATATACAGCATCATATGTCAATATAATATTATCAACATAGCATAAACAATTAAGCAGTAGATGCATTTCACATGAAAGAGGCTCTATGAATCACGTGGCCTGTCCCAATAAAAAGCAAACATTAGAATGTCATTTTAGCAGCTACAGTGCTGATATGATCAATGTAGCTAATTTTTTTATACCCGTCATATATTTTCATAAGTCAATCATAGGGAAGAAGCAAAGGACAAAGAATGTTTTGAAAAAAACAGTTATGTGCCAACTTCAAAATGACATACTAACCAGACATCAGCGTTCCAAAGCTTAGGTTGAATAGGCCTGGCCTTGATACACATGCAGTAGATTTGTTTTCAGAATATAAAATTAAATGGTAATGTCAGCAGTATTACTACTGTTTCTATATTTATGATTAATTACTAGCAGTACAACTCCTAGAAGGAAAGAGATGGATCCAATAGTGATGTATGCAATCCCCAAAAATGGATTCTTTCCTCCCATCCATGAAACAGTGCTCAAAATCATCCGTTTTCGTCCATCAAAAGAATGTACAGGGTAATCTGAAGAGGGTATAGGAAGATTTTTCCATCTCTAGTCACTTGATATTTAAAATACAATTTTTAAAGTTGACATTTGCTTGTAATTCACTTGTATAATTATGATACACAGGTATCTTACTCATATGTTCTGAATCACAAAAAATTATTATCTTGAAAGGTAGATGAAGCAAATTAAATGTTAGCAGTAAAAGCCAAAATATTTTACTAAATCAAACTTAAGGGTTATGTAGTTTCTCAGGTGGTTTTGAACTCATTACAAAGGAAGGGTGTAATATGAAATAATATTTCAGATAAATAGCAATGAAGCCCACAAAAGAAGAGGAGATTGATGGACTAGGAGAAAATGAAACAATCAAGGAACTAGAAGTCTCTGTTACTCAAACATATATAACAAAAGTGTAGTTAGGAGTCTAAAAGAGCTCTGAGCAGCACAAGGTCAAAAAAGCAAAATACTGAAGTTTTAACTTGCTGATTTGGGACAATAACATAACTCATGCTATGACACAGAGTATATGACTGACAGTACAAGTGAAAACTGACTGCTAAGAAGATTTAAGAAAGGGTGTTCCCTTTTCCATAAATTATCTACATGGAACAGTTCTAGGATTCTGGCAAGAGTTAGGGTAGAGAAGAAGAGATAACTAAGTCCCTATGAACAAGGGTACAACTTTTTCAAAAGCATCTTTTCAATCAAGTGTCAGGCCCCAACAATTTCTATAGTTTCTGCAACATCCTTGGGCTCCAAATGACAGGCTCAGATCTACTAATTTCTTAAAGTGATCCTAACCTGAGGCAGGAATGATTTTAAATGCTGTTCCTAAACCAATGACCTAGGAACTGGATACAATATCAAATCACCCATGACAATTTTTCTTTCTCTGTGTATCCCAACTCTAAAAAAATGGGTTTCCGCCACAATTCTAACATCCAGTTCCCACCTTATTCCCCCATTTTGATAATGAACCTTTGATGTTTGGCAGGTTCAAATTCCTGACTTTGCAAACCTACAAGAACCCTGCATTTTTCCTGACAGTTCTATCAGTGTTTGGGACCCTGCTGCTGACTTCCTGAATGCAAATTTTATGTCAGCTAAAAATTTCCATTACTGTGCTCTGCATCAGGCTAACACTGGTATCTGCCCATACTCTTACTAGATCTTTGAGATACTAGTTGTGACAGAGCTATCCATTGGCTATCCTCTCTGAATAACATTCTTCCTACCAGCACCTGAAGTGGGTCTGTGTATTCAAAACTGTTCTTGTGAAAGCCTGGTTTCAAAATATCAGTCACTTTCTGTCCCATGTCACTATCAGGGTCATATTCAGTTGTGTATTCAGGTTTAACAGAGTCTAGGATCCAAATCAATCCTTTTTTGAAATTGGTATAGTTCAATTATTTACTAATCCGTTCTAAACCAAAACTATATACTTATGGCTCACTTAGATTACGAAAATTAAAAATGCAAAAATCAGCAAATATTTAAAACATTAATATCTAGGAAACTTTTCATTCACAGTATATATAAACAATGAGCTATAGAGTAAACAATGTAAGGGCTTTGTTTAGAATAAAAGGAACTTCCCGATATAGCCCCCCTAAAAAAGACTTTGCATCTCTGTAGACATGGCTGTTCTGACTACCTGGGTGAACTAGCTAGGGAATGCAGCTTACTGTGGTGGCTAATGGTAAAGTCATGTCCTTTGAGGATAACACACTGGTTATGAACCCCAACTTTTCTAAGTACTACAGGTGTAACCTCAAGCCAACTATTTAAATACTCTAGGTTCCCATATTCTTGTCTATAACAATCATTCTTGAGATGATACCTAAAACTCTGTTATTGCTTGAATTAAACAAAACAACTCATAGAAAGTATTGAACATAGTGATGACATATAGTGAGAATGGAATAAATATCAGTACTGAAAGTGAACCTAAGTTATTAATATAGAACAATAGAGCTAATGATAAAAACTATAATACTATGTGTGAACACATCAATAATTATGAGTAATTATTTGATACGAACTAATACATCTGCTGACTTTTAATATCTAAAAATATATATTAAAAGAACCATCAGTACCATCAACACCTATTTAGTAGGTACACCTTTACCTTTTATGTTAAGCTCAGTTAAAGATCTCCCTTGTAAAAATACCTAGCTTATTGAATCAAGAACCTATATTTTAAGTAATTTTACCAAGTGGTACATTTGAAACCTACACTAGGTACATACAAATTTAAGATATTTCTAGAAGATATAAATTAAAAGATACATTCATATGCTTACATACCCGTTCAAATGGAGAGACCAAAACCAACCACAAAGTAACAAGATACATAACTGAGATTAGGCTGCACTAGATTCCTTTCATTTTCTATGAATCTTTATACATAACCAAAAAAGGATACTGTACGTGATATTCAAATAGTATCGTCCAGCTGGTAATGTTGGATGTAAATCATTTTTCCTTTCAATAAGACGATACAACTTACGAAAAGTAGGTAATGCAGCAGTACGCATCCAAACAATAAAATCCTCATTTATGAATCCATTATTATCCTCATCTTCAAGATCAAGCTCGTACACTGGTTTAAGCCAGTTTACTGGATGTGTTGTATCTTAAAGAGTGGGGAGAGAAATGGAAAAACAACATATTCTAGCTTATTAAGAGTTTTAATGAAAACTCACACTCCACTAAAATAAAGATGTGCAATACATAATCTGAGTATTTTTCTTCTTTTCAAAGGTATAAATGTATGCTTTTTCTAAGGAAGTCTTTAAAATCTAAAAAGAAACCAATTCATCCTGTAACAACAAAAAATTACAAAGACTTGATTGATATCTTAATTAATAAAGACAATGCAAAAGGATATTGAGTATATACCAAAAGGCAGATTATTTAGTGAAAAATATGTTATGAAATACTGCAGTGTGAATAAGGAGGCATAAAAACAAAAAAATAAATTTGAATTATAAAAAATGGGGGCTTGTTCAAAACAAACTTTGCCACAGTTTTAAAAGATAACTGAAGTGCTTATAAGAAAACACCAAAGAAATGATTGAAAGTATATATTTCCTTTAGAATTTTAGTACAAAAGAACCGGTACCCAACTTGGTATGAAGTTGAGGAAAAATATATTCTTTTGAAAGCATACACTTATAAAAAATTCTGAAGACAGAAAATTTAAGGGGTTTAAATTAAAACTCTAGAGTTTAATTTTTTCTTACATTTTCTATTTGAAAAATGTATTTAAAAGTCCAACAATTTTTTAATATAAATTATGACTCTCAAATCTATTCCTATCACTTTATTATTAAAGTGATGGTAGCATACACTTAGAGAAGGAAGGCAGCTCAAGGCAAGAGAGCACCAAAGAGAAGATGTGTCCAAAGAATATATTAGGATGTGTTGGGAGGTCAGGAGTCTGCCCCCCACCCCTTCCTACCTTATCCTGTTAACTCTTTAGATCTTTTGTCTTAACTCTCAGGCTACTGAGTTCCTTTAGGGCAACAAGGTGGGCTGTTTTCAGAACAACTAACTTGACTAGAACAGAGTAAACTGGGAATGTATCTCTATGACCAATCTTAGACCCTGAAAAACTGCAGGAAGTACAATGAAATTTGAAAAAATTAAAACATCAATCCACTGTAGATAGGGCAAACTGGATGGATGGTGGAATCAGTAGAGTGGATACCAGTTTCTACAGTCCTGACCCCACTACCATATAATAAGCTTCCTATTACAGAGCTAATGCAAGACTCTAGCCTTATTGTCTTAGAACAGGCAGGAGCTAAATAATCTTGTTCAGCCTTCCTAATTACCCTGCAAGGAAAGGGTCAGAACATAAAAACACCTGAGAAAACAAAGTGCCTAAAGACCCTGCTGCTCCTGCATTGTTTTACCATTTAAAGCAGACTTGAACAGGTGAGGGATGGGTCCTGGTCTTCAGACAAAACTCCCTAAGTCTTGTGTCTGGTTTTAGGACTAGGGCACAGAAAAAATCTTAGAACTTGGGGAAGATAACTAGGGTATATCTGCTTTTTTTTTTATCTCCTCCCTCTCCAATCCCAACATATCCTGTTCCTATTTCCATACTGCAGTAACCCCTTTTCCAAAGAGCAAGAATGAGAAGCATAATACATGTCCTTCATAAACATGATCCCACACAAGCACAATCAATACATTGAGTAAAAAAAAAAAAAGTATGTGCTGCTCTACTGAGCCTACTTTATAAGGGGTTCTAGTTCATTCAAGGCTCAGGCTTAAGATGAACAACCAGATTAGAGAAGGGTGAAAGGTGTAAATAACTCAAGAGAAAACCATCCTGACTCCAGAATTGATTCTCAGGTGGGTAATTTTGCCACTAGTAGACATCTGGTAATTTCTAGAGACAATAAAATGTGGGAGTTGTCATAATTAGGGTAGGCAAAGAATGCTGCTAAATATAATGCACAGAACAGCTCTCCAAAGATAGGAGCCAGTTCCAATTGTGGACTGTGTCTTGGTTGAACCTTGTTCTAGAGCCTCTCCTGCTCCCATGCTGAGGAACAACTCTGCACAAAGACAATTGCTCTCTTTCACCACTCTCCTATCCTTAATGGTCAGGAAATCCACCTTGAGATAGAACTCCTAGTTTTGCTGCATTTTTGGCTTTCTCTCCAGCCCCCCTCTTCTTCCTCTTACCTGGGCTAGCAGGGAGGCTGGCAGAGGTCAGGCCAGATTCCCCCAAAACTTAAATGGAATGCTGTCAACATCCACCTCATAACCTTTGTTCAATGGGAAACAATAATGTTCCTAAAAAGGATGAAGTTAAGAGCGAAAGTAGGAGTAGGAGGATGGGGATAATTAAAATAATTCATCTTAAATTTTAATAATAATAATAATAATAGAATAGTGCTGGGAAGCTAGTAATGCTACAGAAACATAGGATTTAGAGCCCTAACTAGGAAAAGACCTTGGTATTAAAATCTGAAGAGAAAGAATGGACTTGACCAGGCAATGATCACCACCCAGCCCCTGCTTGAAATCTACTTTAGTTAATTCCAGGAGGAAATAGAAGGCATGAAGGTAGGGAGCTTCTCAGCAAAGCTGGCTTCAGCTTGCATAATCTCACCTATCTACCCCAGCTAAGGAGTTCCAGATTAGGAGTTTAAAAACAGGTGGCACCTAGAACGTCATTCAGGAGAAGGGAACTCATTCCAGATTCCCAGAGAACTTCTAGCTCAGATCTAGAGTACCCAGGGCTTCAGCTGGGCTTCTCTGGTCAACCAGTAGTCACATGGTCAGTCCTGCTGCCTTGACCCCATCTCCAGGAGGGGGCTATAGCCAGAGGGAGTACAGGCAGCCCAGCCCTCATTTCTTTTGAGGCACTGTTCAGCAGACAGGGAAAAGAGGGCCCTTGTGTTCTAGGAGGGATCTGGTGGGGACAGCATTTCTACTGGGCTGGACACAATGCAGGGGCTTCAAGACAGCAGAACCATTCCTAAGGGAGCTGTAAGCCCCTAGAATTGCTCCACAGCCTGTCTTGATTTCCCTTGGATCTCATCTGCTCCTGAACTGCACCTGTCAGCTGGGATTTCTCTACCACGCAGCAGTTTGTGCCAAAATTCACTCATATTCATATTAAAATAAGTTAATTTAATTTTAATAATACATTTTATTTAACCCTATATGCCCATATTACCATTTTAGCACGTAATAATATGTAAAAGTGTGCCAAAATTCATACTCATACTCCCTGGTGGTTCCAGCTTCACTCCTCTTCTTGAGGTCCCAAGAGAGCTCTTGCTTTGATGCCTTGATCCCCCCATTTCTTACTCTCCCCAGGTGAAATAACACCCTGGGTTCACTCAGCTGGATGTGTTTAGAGAAGGTAGAATTCTCAGGATCCTTAGCTGAGCAGTGAAGGTCAGCATCTCAAAGCTGGAGAGTCTAACAGGGGCAGAGAGAGGAGTAGGCAGGCAGGTACAAGGTGAATGTCTTCCTCAAATATGGAACCCTTCTCACGCATCTAGGCACTCAGCCACAGCTGGAAGCGGCCTCTCACCCGGTGCCTGCCAGCGTGGGCTTCCCGGGTGGGGGAGTCAAGGGCAGGCCAGCAGAGTGAGTTTTTTTTTTTTTTTTTAAGGGAATATTAGCAATGTTTTACCTTTAAATCGTTCTTTCAGGCTGTCCGTTCCAGGAGGATTTCTGAATTTCACATTTTTATCCGTCCACCAAGCAATACCTCTCCTTTTCAAAGGAATGAGCATAAGTGTAGGATCAGATTCATTGGCGACCAGAAACAATTCTAATGTATCTACATAAGAAAAGGAAAATATTACTAATATCTACTAAAAATTCATAGCACTAAAAATCTATAGCCCTTGCTTTATTTTACAAGAAATGAGGATTTGGTATTTGCTTCCAAATGTGAGTGTGACAGAGAAGACATAAGATTCACATTTACTCTATTCAGATGTGAGTTAACTATAGCAATTTGTAAGTCCAGAGGGACTTCTTTCCTCAATGCAAATACACTTTCCTATATGACAGGCTGCCTAGCTCACATAAGATCAAGTGTTTTAATATTAACCCAAATAAAACTGCAAGGTAAATTTGCCTCTCTTCCTTTCAATAACACATTCTTAATACTCCAGGCTTAACTATTTCTATTATCTGTACATGGTGACCACTAGGCATGAATTGCTACTGAGCCCTTGAAATATGGTTAGTATATATAAATATGTTCAGTAAGAATATAATGTATGTCAGATATCAAGGACTTACTAAAAATATATATACATAAAATATCTCAAACACTTTTACATATTATCACATGCTAAAATGATAACATGGGCATATAAGGTTAAATAAAATGTATTATTAAAATTAAATTCACTTATTTCACTAGACGATTTCCAATGTGACTGCTAAAAGCTTAAAATTACCTACATGGCCCACATTTAAGGTTCACATTACATTTCTATCAGACAGGGCTGCTCTAAATGATCAACTGTATCCCCCGACTTTTTTTTTTTTAGTTGTTGATGAACCTTTATTTTATTCCCTTATTATATGTGGTGCTGAAACTCAAACCCACTGCTTCACACATCCTAGGCAAGTGCTGTACCACTGAGCCACAACCCCAGCACTCTGTCTCCCTTTTAATGGAATAATTAAAGTCAGTGCAAATGGTAGTTTGACTTTTGTAGTATACAAAATAGGAAGATTAGAAAAATATCTCTGCTTCTTTCTTCTCAGAGAAAGAAATCTAGTCTTACATAAGAATGCTCAAAAGGAAGTCACAAAGCATTATAAACTCCATTTACGACCTGAGTATTTAGCTTAAAGCTAAATTTCTCAATTTCATTCACATTTACTACACTAACAAATTGGTAATAAGGTTATACAAACTGTCCTAATTATATATGCCTCTATCTATATTTATGTTTGTATCATATCATACCATTAAACATGCTGTTAGCAATAGCTCCACAAGGAGCAATTGGTTTGTCTTCATTTCTTCGATAAGGCTCACATTCCTTACTGGGATTCTGGTTTTTAGGAGGAAAAAAAGAGAGAAATTATCACCTATGCCTCTGGAAGAACTATGAGCTATCCCTGGTTAATGATTAAAAATTCAATCCATGCATGTTTCTTACTTGTAATACATATAAAATGAATCTGAAATGAAAAAAGTTATAACACCACACTTAAAGACTCAAACTATTCTACCACCTTTTTAATGAAACATTTACTTGCATATATTGTTATATATACTTATCAAATTAGCATATTTTCAAAGCAACATAGAAACCATAAGCATAAAGAGTTTTCTGCCTAAGGAAAAAAATTAAGAAATTGTCTATTGTCAATCCAAGTTGTGATATAAAATTATGAGAATCTTAAACTGGAAGCAAAAGGAATAGACATTCTAGTTTCTTAGACAAGTTCCTTGATTAAACTAAGTTTCACTTATAAAATGAACATGTCCAATTATTTCAAATCTTATAATTTGGGATTGAATACAATGTCTAATGAAAGAAGGAAGGAAGAAGTGAGTTTAATGCAGATTCCCAGAATACAATGATCTTTAATTTGTGTATCCAGGTGTAGGAAAAATGAAAATGCTGGCAGGTAGAACATTTGCCCGTCTTCCAGACTGGATTTTGACCTAGTTTCATCCTCAAGGAGATGAGGCAATTACAGGGTTAAACTAAGTCTAAGGTTAGACAAATGCCTGAGTTGTTCTGGGACTCTCAGGCAACATTAAACCATGTCTCAAGCATGTAACAGACCAAAATAATCCCAATTTGAAACTAATGAGACCCGAGTTAGACCTCTTCCATTATCTACTAACCTTGACTTATATCTGCATTCTCTATGTCTAGACTAGTAAAAGCACTATGTGAGAAGGAAACGTGATTGGGATCTCATAAGATTTCAATATTTGACTTCTCAGTTCTTTGGTCCCTGAGCCATCTTTATTGAGAAAGTTTGTGGTCCAAGACCATGAAGAGAGACAACATTTATAACTGGCCTATTTCTTTCTGAACATTTTAATGAAAACTATATAGGTTATTAAACATAAATAAACTCATAATAGGGCAAATGTATTCTAGCTGCTAAATTCTTAGAAAATTTTAAAAGAAAAAAAAATATTATTTACTGCCTGTGTGTCAGATACTGAGCTAAGGAATGTTAGGTATATGGCAGTAACTGGCTTAGAAAAACAATTTAATGAGTCCCTAATATACACCATATATAGGCTAGGTTATCAAAAAAAAATATATCCCTGCTTTTAAACAATTCAGAATGTAACAGAGAGAAAACATACTCATACACAACCGAGTATAATTTAAAATAAAAGCCACAATAAAGATGTCTATTTTCGTTCAATATTTATTAAATGCTTTCCATGCACTAAGCCAGATGTTTGGAACATGGTAATTAAAGAAAGCCATGTTCCCTACTCTCATGAGTTTACAGTGTAGTTAGGAAAACAGGTAATAAATTTATTAAGTAAACAAATTCATCATTACAAATTGTAATAAATGTTATGAAGAGACTATGTGAGTGAATAACCAAGATAGAGTAGGAGGGGGGAAAAACTTATTTCTGGAGGAAGTAACATATAAGATAACACCTAAAATAATGGGCTCCAACTATATGAAGAGCAGGCAGAAGACAGTTTAAATGTTAAACTGATTTCTGGAGGAAGTAACATATAAGATAACACCTAAAATAATGGGCTCCAACTATATGAAGAGCAGGCAGAAGACAAAAAATAAAATATTCTTAAGAAAAAACTGATAGCAGATAAAGGTGAATATAGCTAGTTAGCAGAGAGAAAAATACTATATGATGAAACTGGAAGATTACACATAGCTCAGATCATCCTGAGATTTTACTTCAAGTGCTAATAAACCCTTACAAGATTTTAAGTAGGGAAGTGATATTTACATTTTTAAAAAATCACTATAGCTGCTTTGAGGAGAATGACCTGGAAAGGACGGGCAAGACTGGATGATGGGAGACATCTAACCAAAGCAAAAAGTGACGATGTTTTGGACCAAGACATGAATAAGGTAAATATCTAAAGAAGATATTTTGAATCAAAGGGCACTTAGGAAAAATATAGGTCATGAAATGAGCAATCCTTCAAAGGTAGTGTAAAAACATCATTCTAGGCAAATGAAATGATAAATTATGAGAGGCAGATTACTCATGTCACAAGCACAGTTAGGGAATGGCAAACAAGGCCCAGGCCAGTCAGGCCAAAGATGTATTAAAGATAATTAGTAAAACTGATGTGGTAGACTAATGTCAGATTGTGAAAAGCCTTACATGCAACGTCAAGTAACTTGGACTTCAATGTGATATTCATAAGATTTCTGAAAGTTTTCTAGTCCAAGGATTAAAAAATGACAGCCCACGGGCAAAACCAGCCTACCACTCATTTTTATAAATAACATTTTATTAGAACACACTATATCCACTCACTTAGGAATTGTCTATGGCTGCTTCATTCTACATTGGTAGAGTTGAATAGATGCAACAGAGACAATATGACCTACTAAGCCAAAAATATTTATTATATTGCCCTCCACAGAAAAAGTTCATCAATCCTTATTCTAAAATCTTTCTTGAGATTTGTAAGAATAAAAAGTTTCAGCTTCCTTTTCTCTCAATGAGGATCATGTGTATCTAAATAAAATAATTATAAAAAAGAAAAATTAACAAGAAAATTTTAAATCAACCATCATTCCTGATTCTTTGAATGGAACCATTCTATAATACCAAATGACAAATTTGGAAAGGTCTAGGAATTTGATATGTCTCAAAGTACATCATCTGCTCTGGATTTGAGACCTAAAAATTGGATTCCATGGAGTAAATAGAATACAATGAATTGTAAAATATTATAGTTAACCAGAATGCCTTGCATACCAGGAATCTCTAGATAGACTTTTATTTCTTAAATCCCACATAGAAACCAGCAATAAAACCAAATAGGATAAGGCAGCTATAAATTTGCCAGGTCCATTCTGCTAACAACATAGTCCTAGACTGAACTCTAAAAGATTTACCAACTAAAACGCTTTGAGCCTTCTGAATGTTTGCTGCATTGACAACAATAACATAAAATACTGAGGCACAAACCACTACTATGCAAAAGTTGAGCAGTCAAGAAACTACAATCCTCTAGTCCAGTTTCCCAAATAAGCCAAGGCATCAGAAGGGGAGCTTATTAAAAAATAGATATTCTAGAGCTCTACCCCTGAAGACACTGATATATTTTCTGGAAAATTCTGAAATCTGTATTTTCAAAAAGCTCCATAGAGCTTTTCAGTACTCAAAAACTCCACAGTTTTTCAGTAGCCTACCTTCTGGATTTTACTGCTCAGGCTTCCAACAAATTAAAAAATGGAGAGTACCTATATTTAACTTTAAAACACAATCTCAGAAATTAAAAGCCTTTTTGTGCAATCCCCTACTTAGCATAATAATTAATAATGAGCAAACCCAAACAGAACACATTTATACATCCAGAATGCTAGGTTCATCAAAATTCTATTACAAACAGTTTAATAAAGCCAAACTCCCAATGATTACTAGAAACGGGCAGGTAGTAATGTGTCCTCTGGCTGTAAGAAGTCATGAAGCTATACAAATTCCAGGAAAAAAAAAGTATTGTAACTAAAAACCCTCACTGTATAAACCAGAAATGACAAATAACACTTTAAATTTCATCCTAACATTAAATACTTAACATTTGTAACTGAATGATTACCGTATGCTATTACTGCAGATACCACATTTTCATATTTCACCATTTTACTTACAAGCAAAGCACTACGATCTCCATTTAGTTGACTATCATCTCGAGATTTCACATAACGACGATGATTTTGATAGAAATTAGACAGTCCATAATACATGAACACATTGCCCTAGAGAAAGGAGAGGGAAAAATGTTTTCAAAAGGTAAGTAATTTGAACTTTACTAGTTTACAATTTGTGATAATGGGTCTGGGTAAATTCTATAAGTACTTAGCAATTTAAAATGGTTGAAGAAGGTATAATACAAAAACCCAAAAGTAAACTTTCAAACTATCCTTAAATACTTCAAAAAAGTACCATTTACACTTAAAAATAACACTGTAGAACTCTATTAGCCTATCCTGGGTGACTTTTTATCTAAAATTTTCTAATTTATATTTGTACAGTTACAAAATGACCAAGAATGGCATATCAGAATGCAAAAGACAGACACACACAGACACACACACACACACACACACACACACACATATCCAGACTGGTCTTCACCCAATTGGCATCAACTTTTCTGAGAAATAATGGTCAAACTTTCATTTATTATCTAAGCAAATAAATTCTGAACTGAATAAAGCTATAAAATTTCTCAATAGGACAGTATAAAATATTAAAAATAAATTAGTAATTAGAGTATTTTAGACAAGGAGTCACTTGACAATAATCAAGAAAAGAACTATAATACATTTAGTGGAGCCAACTTCAAAATAACTTGGCAAAGAATTTTCTATCAAAATTACATCACAGAAACAGGAACAGGACAAATGTGCCTTTTGTGGGGGGAAAAAGAGTATCATCTCAAGAATTAGTATAGTAATTTCAATTTATAAATTAAAAAGGAGAGCATTTCAATGAATACTAAGACAAAGTAACCTACTTTAAGTTTCCTAAAAAGGATTTTAGTCCAATTCAAATTTTATGAAGAAACAAAGAACCTACAAAAGACTGAATCTGAGGCTGATCATGTTTGCAGAAGAGAAATTCTGAAATAGGTTTTTATAAATGAGGGAGCTTCTAAATCATTTCAAGTTTCATTTCTTCAATTCTCCCTATTCTGACAAAAGCAAATATATTGTATCTTTATAGTTTGCTCATCTAGTTGAAAGACTAGACTTTTAAAGATACATTAAATTTATATGTTATTTCTGTGGAAATAAAATTAAATAATTAAATTAAGTTTTCATGGTTTTTTCAAAGGCAGCATTTATCCTGTGCTCCATCTCAGCACAAGAGTAACTATAACCACTAGGTGGCAACAATCTTTTTTTTTTTTTATTAGTTGTTCAAAACATTACAATGATCTTGACATATCATATATCATACATTTGATTCAAATGGGGTATGAATTCTTATTTTTCCCACGTGTACAGATTGCAGGATCATACTGGTTATACAGCCACGTTTATACATACTGCCATACTAGTGTCTATTGTATTCTGCTGCCCTTCCTATCCCCCCTCCCCTCCCCTCCCATCATCTCTCTCTACTCCATCTACTGTAACTCATTTCTCTCTCTTTTTTTCCCTTCCCCCTCACATCCTCTTATATGTAATTTTGTATAACAATGAGGGTCTCTTTCCATCTTCCATGCAATTCCCCTTCTCTCTCCCATTCCCTCCACCTCTCGTCCCTGTTTAATGGTAATCTTCTTCTGTTTTGAGTCGCCCCCACCTTATATCAAAAAAGACATTCGGCATTTGTTTTTTAGGGATTGGCTAACTTCACTTAGCATAATCTGTTCTAATGCCATCCATTTCCCTGCAATTGCCATAATTTTGTTATTTTTTAGTGCTGAGTAATATTCCATTGTGTATAAATGCCACATTTTTTTTTTTTATCCATTAATCTATTGAAGGGCATCTAGGTTGGTTCCACAGTCTAGCTATGTGAATTGGGTGGCAACAATCTTATAAAGTTATCATGACCTTTAGAAAATCTGAAATACAGTATATCTAAAATGTTGGGATGTATTAAAGCAGTTTGGCACCCTGAATGATAATTTTATAAAGCTCAATTTTCAGACAGATTATAGTACAAATTGTTCTTTCCATGCCCATTCTGAATTTTTAGGTCCCTTAGAACATGCTTAGTGACCAAGAAAGGCATATCAGAATGCAAAAGACAGACAGACACACACACACACACACACACACACACACACACACACAGAGAGTTCCAAGCACTTATCAAAATATAAAAGATCAATAAAGTGTTAAGTATTTGCATTTTTGGTAATGTTTCATATCTCACAGAAAAATTATCCAATTAAATAGTGAGAATTAGTATTTTCTAAAATAAATGTTTTATAATTAAAAGGCAATCTGAGCAATAATTTTAAAATACAATGCACATATAAACAACACAAAACTGATTTGTACAGTTAAAAAATTTTGAAGTGCAAGGATAAAGTGATTCCACATAATTTTATCTGAAAGTACTAAAGTTAACCATTCAAATAATTTCTTAATCATACAGCAAAATGCAATAGTCAAACACATAAAACAATCTTTCTCAAAGGTGTATTCCAATAAATTAAACTGAGTCCTCTCTATAAGAAGAAAGTACCTAGAAAAAAGGTTAATAGACTATCAATATTTTTTAAAACATTGCTTTTCTAACACTTTACTTGGAAACACAGACCTCAAATGACTTTTCCAGTGTGAAGTTAATGGTACAAATACAAGGTGTTTCAACTGGAGACAAACATTTATTGCAGGGACTGGAAGGTTCTATTCCGGTATAATCAATCTGCAAGAGAAAAATATAACTAAGCAATTCCATAGAGAAAAAAAGTGGATACCTAATACACTCTGAAATAACTTGCTCTTAAAAGGAAAGATAAGTTCAATAAAGCAACTTAAAAGCAACCTTAAAAGCAGTTTTTAAAAACTGTTTTAAGGTCATCTGTCCTAAACTTAATAGTCACCCCCCACCAAAAAAAAATTAGTCTCAAGAAATTCTATGGCTCACTTGAAATTTATTATTTTGTGTAAATTAGAGAATTGAAGAGGGAACTATAAGGGAAGACTTTAATTCTAACCCAATTAGTAAATTAAAATCTAACATTTGGAAATGATCAATGAATTAGGTAATACATAAGTGTGAATTGTCTTTGAAGAAAGGAAAGCAGTAAACAAATCCAGCTATTATATTCCAAAAGTACACCCCCAAGCCAGAATTGTTCTTAGTCTTTTATAAATGAGAAAAGTGAGAATCAGTGGTAAAATGTGACTGCCCAAGATCAAACAACACTTAAGTGTCTGCATTAGTTTCCTAATTCTGCTGTAACAAAATTACCACAAACATGATGCTTTGGAACAGGAGAAATATATTCTTTCATAATTGTGGAGACAAAAAGCCCAAATTCAAGATGTTAAATGGGCCATACTCTTTCCGGGACTTCCTTGCTTCTTCCTAGTTTCTGGAAGTGCAATCCTTGGACATCTTTGGCTTGCAGCTGCAGCACCCCATCTCTGATTCTTATTATATGGTGTCTGATGTTTCTATCTTCACATCATCTTCACTGTGTGTCTATTTTTTTCTTATAAACTCACCAATTATATCAATTAGGGGCCCACCCTAATGACTTGATTAGTCATTAACTCAATTAGAGCTACAAGGGCTCTAGTCCCAAATAAAAATCACATTCACAGGTAACCATATCTTTTGGAAGAACACAATTCAATCCATTCAGAATATGATTTGTCTGCCTCCAAAGTTGGGGTTCCTTCCATTTGACTACACTGGTTCTTCCCATAGTATTAAATAACAAGCATGCACCCTACAATAATTCAAATATGGAATTCAATTTTAAAAACAAAGTTGGTACCAATTGTTAATACTAACATTTTAAACAGTATAACTAACTCTTCATATTTTTAATCTGGAATGCAGATTAAAAATAACAATCATCTCAGGATATATTAGTGATCAGAGTTGGAAATAGAATTTTATAACACAGTGATTCCCCAATATTTGCAGGGGACACATTCTAAGACCCCCAGTGGATGGCATGGATAGTGTCAAACCCTACATATACTCTTCTTTTTCCTGTACACCCACACCGTGATAAAGCTAATTTGTAAATTAAGTATGGTAAAGGATAAATTACTAACTATAAAAGTTATATATATAATATTATATATATAACTATATATAATATTATAAGTTACAAGAATGTGGTCTCTCAAAATATCTTGTAATATAGACATTAGCAACCTCAGTACACAATGTTTTCTTTCCTTCTTGAGAACTTTCACCTTTTCACTTAAAGAGAGCACTTTATGGCTTCCTTATGGCATAATGGAATTAACAGCATCACTACTTTTATGTTTGGGGCCACAAGTAAAATAAGAGTTACTTGAACATAATCATTGCAGCACCAGGACAGTCAATCTGATAAATTAGGCAGCTATTAAGTGCTAATTGGCGGGTAGCATATACAGTGTGGATACTCTGGATAAAAGGATGATTCATATACCAAGCAGGATGAACAGGAGGGCACAAGACTTCACTGTGCTACTCAAAATGACATGTAATTTAAAACTCATGCATTGTTTATTTCTGGATTTTTCAATTTACTATTTTCAGACCACAACTGATCATGGGTAGCCAAAAGTGTGGAAAGTTAAACTGCAGGTAATTGGGGGGTAGGGGGGAAGATAGGATGACAAATGTACAAATTTCCTCACAAAATTTTTATGTATGGCATTTAACTCATTTCTACAAACAAAAAATAATAAATTCCACCATGAAGTTTCAGATAATTAAAGCCTTACTAAGATATCAAGTAATAAAAACTTCTTAGGATATAACTGATGAAAGGACTTTGTTAGTTATGCTGCAGTCTATACACAGGGTAGATCAAAGAAATAGATAATTAACATGAATAAAGCAGGGCATTGTATTTAAGTTCCTAAAACACTTGGGATCTCAAGAGTGGTAAGCCAATGAATGACTGGTGGCTATGGGCCCCTAGGTAGCTTAAGGTTGGAGGCTGGTCACCCCAACCTTAAAAGACCAAGGCCTAATTAAAGGGTTAGAGTTTTTAGTTCCCTCTCAACATCTGGGGAAAAGAAAAAAACAGAGCCTTGAGTTGATCACCAATGGCCAGTAATTTCATCATCATTCTAACATAATGAAACCTCCATAAAACTCACCTGGAGAGTGGTGCACCCAGAAGACCATGGAAGTTCCTTACCCTTTCCCCTATAACTCCTACCCTATGCATCTCTTCCACTTAGCTGTTCATTTGTATCCTTTGTTATATCTTTTAGTAGAGTTCCCTTGGATTCTGTGAGCCACTCTAGCAAATAAAACAAACCCAGAGAAGGGGCATGGAAACCTTCATCTGTAGCCAGTTGATCAGACAACCTGGGACTTGTAATTGGCATCTGAAATGGGGGCTGAAGGGTAGTTTTGGTACTGAGTTCTTAACCTTTGGGGCTTGATGCTATTTTATGATAGTGTCAGAACCAAACTAAATCACAGGACACCCAGTTGGTATGTACAGAAGAATCTGGTGTTAGGATCTCTTGATTGGGGAGAGGCAGGCAACCATACCTGATGTCGAAGTGTGATGATGAATGGTGTATGAAAAGAAGAAAAATTTTTGTTTGTTTTTCCTATCAGAATACTCTACCTTCTATTCTTATTCCCCAAGCAATACTCTCCATTTCATGACCAGAGTCACTCTGTTAATAATAAGCAATTATGTCACCTATCTGTGCAAAACTGTTCTAATAGTTTCCCACGACATAGAGTATGAAAAGTCAAGGTCTTTATAGTGGCCTACATGATATAGACCCCAATGCTTTACCACTTCAACCTAATCTTTTACTATTCTCCTGGACCTCTTACCCTGCTTCAGCCATATTGGCCTCTTTGATATTCCTCTTCCTACTAAGCATGTTCCTCAAGACCTTTGCTCTTACTATTTCTTTGGCATAGGATATTCTTCCCTCAGATATCAGCATGATTTACTCCGTTACCTTGTTTTTATATCTTCACTAAATACCAATTTACTGGAGCCCTCCTGGTTATTCTATTTAAAATTGTGAACTATCTCTCAACCCTTCATTTTTCCTCAGAGACTTTTTCATCTTCCAACAGCAAATTAAGGAATGAGTAGGAGATATAAGAAAGATATTATGGACAAGTGTGGACCCTTCTTTTTATACAGATGGTGCTAAAAGAGAATATTGATCAACACCCAGAAGAAACAAAACAAGAGGTCAGAGTGCTAGGTTTGAATACCAGCTGCTCAATTATAAGCAAAAGACTTATAGATTCAATGTCCTCATCCAAAAAAAAAAGAGAGAAAGAGAAAATAAAAACAAGAACAGTAACTGATAAAGTAGATAAAATTATTAGCAGTGAACTCTGAAAAAATGTCATTTTGAACTGTTTCAGTATTTAATAGAATTAAAATAGCATGTTTTCATTTTTGAGAAATTAGAACACATTCATATACTGAATGGATAAAAAAAGAGGTTGAAGAAAACAAAAGGAAGGTAATGATATTCAATTTTCCTTCTGTAACTTATTTAACCTATCAGTAATGTCATATATCTAATTTGCTTTTCACATAAAAAAACACAATGCCCTTTATATGAAATCAAGTTCAACAAATTACCATAATCAATTTTAAAATGTAATCATTACCTAGATGAGCTAGCTCTCAACCGACATATCATTTTACCACCAGATAAATCTTCCTATAACCTTGTGATGCACAGACTGCTAACAACCTACTACCTCAACTTCTGTTACACCTTTCTTCTTTAGTATAAAATTCTCAGTACCAGAAAATCTTGTTATTAGAATAAAAACTACATTTTCCATCCTTCCTTGCAGCTAGCGTGGCCTTGTTAGTGGAACATGGCAGCTTCCAAGAAACTTTTTAAAAAGTGCTTTATCATTTGTTCTTCATCCTTTCTTCTATACTGCTGCCCAAAGAAGGCAATCTGAACTCTAGCCTCCATCTTGAACCTTAGGCTTGAGAGCCAATTTCTAAGAATGTTAGAAGTAAATGGTAGAGTGAGGACTCAGTAAAACAGCCTTCTATCAGCTTCATATTAGGTTCCTAAGTCATTTAAGATCTTCATTCTCAATTACTCACTGCTGAACCCAACCCTAACCAATATACACTTTCCTGATTTAATACATTCACTACAAAATACCAAGACTATCCACAACCTGGCACCAGGTAATTTGCCCTTCCTCTTATTTTCTCTATACACATTTTGATTTTCTGCCACTAGATCACTGCTCATATTAATCTCTTTTATTGGAATGAATCCAAACTTCTCCTTTATAAGCACCATTTTTGTCCTTCAAGTTCCAGCTCAAAGTCTTCTTCCTACATAAAGCTTTCCCTGGTATAGACTTATGTCATCTTGTCTTTCTTTGAACTACTAAGATATATTCTGTGTGTGCCACTCACCCAGCGATGCTTAATCTTCCTGCTAAGTGTGTGTTTCATCTTCCCCAAAAGATTCCAGGCTTTTTAAGATATACCTCCACTGAAAAAAAGAAAAAAAAAAGAAGCCCTGTCTCCCTGTCCCCAAACATTTTCTATCATCCACTATGGCCAAAGAGGCACTTTGTATACAGAAATATGTACTATGTTTATTAAAATAATTGATTTAAATTACCACTATATATCAAGCTAAAATTCAAGGGTAGTCTGACCTAATGTTCAGACTGTAATAAAATCTGTTGAATATAACAATCCGTAAGATTTCAAA